CGGCATTCCCAAAGCTTCCTCAGCTTTGTCAGAAGAAGCCGGCGCATCCTCTGGGGTGGCCTGTGGGGCAGGTGGGACCTCGCTGGCTGTTGACAGCCCTCCCCATGGCTGTGTGCTGCCATGGCCGTGCCACTCCAGCTCTGCAGGCCTGTTTGCAACATTACAGCAAAAAAAAACCCCAGCATATGTATATAAATAAAAAAATGTCCTTTAAATATATATTAAATAAATATATTTTCCAGTTGGAGAGGAAAGACGTCCGATTTGCTTGCTCACTGATGTCAACCCAGGAGCCAGGGCTCAGAGTGCAGAGAGACTCCTGGAGCTACCAGGAGGGCTGGAGCAGGTCTCAGGTGAGCCTGGGGCCATCTACAGGTGATGACTAGATGGAAGCCAAGTGACCCACTGTGGCTGCCTATTGCCCTCACCCTGATAATTAGCAAAACTTATCAATTACAAGCTGTGCTGCAAGAGAAAGTTCAGTCTGAACCCAAACACCGGTCAAGGGCTGGAGAGGATGCTGCAGGAAACACAAACTTTGATTTCCATGGCCATTATTTTCATAACCCTTTGAGAAGCGAGACTAGTCCCACACCACAGCCTCTTAACAAATTCCTCTGTTTTCTGAGGTTTAATGAAGCACTAGGGTCAGCATTTCTCCATCAGGACACCCACCGGTTAAAGTGCTAGAGCGTCTTTTGACACGAAACACATTGAAATGGAAAGAACCACCACATTTCCTCCATGTACCTCCTTGGTTTACATCCTGGAAAGCTCAGCACACCAGTTGCTCTCACCTGCTATGTTGTTTTGCAGGCTGCACAGAAGGTGAAGACAACCTGAGGTGACTTCTTATGGAGACATTAAATGCACTCAGGCCTCCATTCACCCGCCTGCAAGCGCCTGCGAAACCAAGGCGGATCGGTGCTGGACCCTCAGAGGTGTGAGGTGGAGGCTGGACCTGCTGTCCAGGTAAAGCCAGGGAAGATGGACCAGCTGTTTGTGGAGATGCTAAGAGCACCACTGACATGTTGATGAACCTTCCCTCTCCCTGGCCCTCCCGGGGATGTTTATATTAATTTCTCCTCTCCAGAGCCTGAGGGGCTCTAATGAACAGGTCACTAGGTCTTACTGCTGGAACACAAGCGCGTGAGCCACACCTTCTCCCATCCAAGCTCAAAACCTGTCACAAGCTCCCCTTCAGCCCCTCTTTGGTCCCATGTGAAGCTCGGCTGCCCCAGAGCATCCCCTTGGGTCCAACAGGGCTTTCCGGCCCTGACTCAGCCTGGGACAGCTTCCCCCAAGAAAAATTGCCTTGCTCTGCCCCTGGCTGGAAAGGGGGTGCCGCAGGGCAGGGACGCGGCTGCAGGGCTTCGGAGTTGATGTATTTTTGGCCCTTTTAAAAGCACAGGACAAAGCCATCAGCAGCTGCTCCTTTTCTGCCAGGTTCAGCGTTTTGCCCGCAATAAAGCTTCGCTTTGTTTCCTTATGGCAAACACCAAGCGAAATCAATATAGAAGCAGCCCAATTTTAAGGCTAATTGAAGAAAACAACCAAGATTTCAATGCCAATGTACAGCAGGGCTCAAAGCTCGCAGTTTCTCCTTCTCCAGCAAGGGCTGTGAGGGGCTAAAGCCATTTCTGAAGGATGCTACTTCACATCTATAACATCCTGCTGACTTGGACCCTCTTTACCTTTACGTGGCTTTTCCATATGCGAGGATCCCTTTGGAGTCATTGAGGAAAACCTGTGGATTGCCCTTGGATTTATCATTGTTTTGCTTTGGCCCTCCAAGGGAAAGGCTCCTTAAAACTAGATACTTTGTCCTGGAGACTCAGTCTTTCCACTGCACTCAACGGTATTTTAGTCTGGGGAAGGGAAGGGGGTTGGTTAATCTTCTCATTTCTCTGGCTGTTTCGGGAAAATATTTCCAAGCCCAGCCAGGACTGCTCCGCCTCTGCCAGCCATAGTCAGAGGTTATAAAGATTAATGGTCAGGCTTTGCCAAAAAAAAAAAAAAAAGTAATGAGAACATATAATTTAATAGTCTTTTTTTTTCCTTTCTTTTTTTTTATTTAATACTTGCTGTTTCAGGGAGTTTCCCCTTGTCTGATAATCAAAGCTCCAGCCCCAAGGTGCCTAAACAGGCTTTTTTCCATAGAAACCACTTTTGCCTCCTCGCAGCCACCCTCTAAGAAACGATAACTCTCTGGGATGCTGTCGTAATCCCTCGTAGCAGCACGGAATGATTTTCCAGACAGAAGATTAAGCACTACTAATCCCGAGGAGGAGGAGGAGAGCAGTGCCGTACGAAGGGGGCAGGGCTCCTGATTTCCAGCGCTTGTCCCTAGGACTGCCACGTCCCGAGCTGCTGCCGGCATCCATGCAAAGCGGAGCCAACGGAGCTGCACGGGGAGAAAGCTTAGCCACATGAGAGGGGACTCGCTACGTCCAAAACCTGCCTGTGTTTCCCTGCAAATCCCAAGCAAGGACCGTGCTTGGGCCAAACCACTTCTGCATAAAGCTCTGCTGCTCCCCGTTAGCTATACGTCCCAAGAAACTGCAGCCTATGTGACCCCACAAAGGAGAAGGAGACTGTGGTCAGACACAGTAGGTGCAGGGAGACCTGGGCGGCACAGCTGGTGGGACAGGTGGTCTCCATCCCCCCAGCCCTACCTGGAGGAGAAAGTCAAAGAGGGCCAGGCGGCTCCACTCGCCGCGTGGGATGCTGGAGCAGGGACCGTCCCCAGCTGCTGGCATCAGTCCACAGGGCTGCAGCATCTCCTGGTACTGCAGCCACCCCAGGGCACAGGAGTTCTGGTCATTGTTGGCATCCGTGAGGTGCTGGAGGTCGGGCGCCCACCAGATGATGGGC